CCCAGGAGACAGGGTACAGTCAGACGATGCTTTCGGAATAATAAGAAAAATAACTCGAGGTAGATGTCCAAATGAACAATCAGTTTATAAAGGTGTGTTAGCATTAATTTCTTTTATTTTTAAACTAAGCTTCTTGCTGCACGTATAGAAAAAACATGCATTTATCTGAAAAAGTGTGACCAGTCCGAGGTAATAAAATAGGAGGCCTACTATCTCTGATAAGGGAGTGTGTACAGTCAGGCTGGATGACTGACTGAGGAGCAGCTTGAATACAAGCTGGAAAACAGGCTGAAAAGAACAGTGGGGATATTGACTGGGTCATTCCAAAGGCTTACGCCTGACATTGTGATGGTCAGGAACCGCACTGTGACTCCGGAAGGTTCTCTTTGGTAACCAGGAGGCAGTGATTGATGAGACTTGCAATGATTGCTGGAGGTTTCTCCATCATACCTGTAACTGGACTGGTCTCTCCTCTTGACTAAAACCTGAAGTTGCCACAGTCTCACTCTCTCATACAGACAAGTGACAGGTGGCGAGTTTAACCCGAGGGACACCGCACCTGAGCTAAAGGGTGAGGTTGAGGAGGTGAGACCTTCATGCTAACTTCAGCTGAAACCAGGAATTGAACCTGCACTGTACGATCCAGCTCTCCAATCGCAGAATACCTGAAATCCCTGGTAGTCTTCCTTTCCTTTACTCTTTCATGGGATATGCGTATCGCTGGCAAGGAGAGCATTGCTGTCCATCCCTAATTAGCCAGAGGGTAGTTAAGAGTCAACCACATCGCTGTGGCTCTGGAGTCACATTTACCCCAGACTAGGTAAGGATGGCAGATTTCCTTCCTTCAAAGGGCATTAGTGAATTAGATGGGTTTTTACAATAGTTGACATGGTTAACATTATATACTCCTACAAGGTGGAAGAAGGTCATTCGGCCCATCAGGTCCACACCGACCCTCTGAAGAACATCCCACTCAGACCCAACCCCTACCCTATCCCTGTAACCCCGCATTTCCTATGGCTAATCCACCCTAACCTGCACATCTTTGGATGGTGGGAGGAAACCGGAGCAACCCGAGGAAACCAACGCAGACATAGGGAGAGCATCGCACACAGACAGTCATCCAAAGGTGGAATCAAACCCAGGTCCCTGCCGCTGTGAGGTAACAGTACTAACTATTGAGCCAGCATGCTGTCCCTTGAGACTAGCTTTCACTTAAGACCATAAGATATAGGAGGATGATTAGGCCATTCAGCTCATCAAGTCTCCTCCACCATTCGATCATGGCTGATATATTTCTCAACCCGATTCTCCTGCTTTCTCCTCGTAACCCTTGATCTCCTTACTAATCAAGAACCTACCCATCTCTGTCTTGAAAAATACACTCACGACTTGGCCTCTACAGTCCTCTGCGACAATGAGTTCCACAAATTCATCGCCCTCTTTGGCAGAAGAAATCCCTCCACATCTCAGTCTACTCCCTTCACTCTGAGAACCATTGGCTCCTAGTCTCTCCTACTCGTGGAAACATCATCTCCATGACCACTGTTTCTTAGGCCTCTCAGTATTCTGCAAGTTTCAATCAGATCCCCCATATCTTTCTCAACTCCATCGAGCACAGACACAGAGTCCTCAAACACTCCTCATATGACAAGCTTTTCACCCCCAGGATTATTCTTGTAAACATCCTCTGGATTCCTTTCAATGCCAGCACATCTTTGCTTGGATTTTGGGGCCCAAAACTGCTCACACTTTTTGAATTGAATTTATATTCAATTTGAGCGCACCCTCTCCATTGCATTAGACAGGGCATCTGGATTACAAGGTCCAGTAGCATTGCTACTACAGCACCATCTCCTTCCACTTCCCAGCTAAGGATTGGGATATTGTTCAGAACTCCTTCGCCATGTATCGGAATCTCAGGGATCCTGAAGAAGGGTCACTGTACCCGAAACACTAACTTTGAGTTCTCTCCAAAGATGCTGCCTGACCTGCTGAGATTTTCCGGCAATTCCTGTTCCTGTTTCGGATTTCCAGCGTCCGCAGTTCTTTAAGTTTTTTTTTGCTTCAGAGACTTTGTTGCTTTTCACCTCTCAAAGTGAATATCAGAAATGTCCTCAAAGCGTCCCTGAAGAGGTCAAACATGTGAGTCCCTGGCCTATAACCGACCCAAAAGAGAAAAGCTACATTTGGGAAAGCACTGAACACATCGAGAGATATTTTCAGGAACTTGTAGGGAGAGAGTGCATTCACCTCAAAACAGTGCACTTCCCCAGTCCTTCAAACACATGTGGTGGAGTCTGCAGATTATACACAATAGTCTTCAACCACTACAGGACCACTACCATTGGAATGGAATGGAAGCAAGTCATTCCTGATCCTGAAGGACCATTTCAAAAAGAGGTTGTCTGAACATGGATGGATCCCTGGTGAACCTTGAAACCCATCAGGGAGACAGCATAGAAGGAGACAAGGAAACAATTTCTCATGTGCTACAGGGATACAATAAAGGCAGCCCTCTTTCCCTGGTTTGAGCAAAGAGCTCCATGTACAATTGGACACATAGTATTGATGGGGAACACCTGAAGGACAGCGAGATCTGGTCATTCAGAAAATCCCAAGTTCCTCAACACCCCTGAGAAAGGGGTATCAAGGACAGAGTTTGGAAGGGGTCCAGTGGAGAGGAATCCATGTTGGATTTGGTTGAACCCTCTGGGGTTATTTGTGGAGACCTTAAGATGACCAAAGAAGAAAACAGAGGAAGAGAAAGAGAAGAAGAGTTGGCCACATGAGTGAGCCATCCTACCTGGTCAGGACTGACCCCTGCCAATGTCACAGTCACGTGCTACCTAGTGCACTCCATTCTGGTTTAAGTCTGACTGCACTCAGCATATGTATTAGAATGAGTGCAGTCAATTTCTCCGAGTTAACATCCCAGCAACAAGTATTTACAGAAGTCAGTGAGATGGATATGCCTGATTCCCACAACAGAGTCCCAATTGTCACTCTCCACTCCCTGTTACTATCAAGCTTGTCACATCATCACTTTCATGTCCTCCCAAAGATTCCCTGGAAACTCTCCATATACTATAGGGGTCCATGGACCCCAGTCTAAGTACCACTCTCACTGAAGACAGGTACTTTACTGTTATTTAAAGGAGATTCTTAGAACCAAAGTAGCTCTTTTAAAGCACAAAGGTGTCCCAAAATGTAAGCATTACAGAGTCGTGTTACACAATTGTTATCACGAGACATTCTGACTGGGGATGATTCACAAACAGTTTTCAGGATTTGCCTTTGAGCATTTGGCCGTCAGTAAGCTTATTTGTTTTAGTTTATTTTCCTTGGATGGATAAAATAGCAGAATTCTTGAAATGCTAGTGGGCTAGTCGACTGGGCTTGATCTGCAAAGGCCACTTCTTGAATGAGCTTAATCAAATGTAGCCATGCATTCAGTTGGATCCCTTACAGCACCATCTGCATTGCTTGGCTGGCCACTGTGTTGAGTGAAAGCAACTGTTTATCATTTAAATCCTATTAATTCTTCAAATCAGCTAAATATAATATAAATCTAAATCTCTGAATGCTTGCTTATTCACCAGGGGCAGCTTTTTAATTAAGAAATATGAAGCACTTGCTACTGGATGCCCAGTACAATGTTACTCAAGACAAAACTGGAAAGCTTCAAACGCACACACATCTCTTTTTAAATAATTTTGGTCAATTTTCTGTTCCACATTCTTTTTTTTCCTGTATATTGTCGCATGATGTTTGTTAATTGAACTTAGTTTAAGTTAAACAGGTTGACCACTCTCTTAACTGAGCGTACACAGTACATTAACAGTACATTAAAAAGAGTGATGGTTGTCATTAACGTTAGTGAAAAATAAGGTGACCTGACTGGTTTTCTGTTCTGGTATTATTTTTCGCCCCATCTTGGTTAAAACAGATGTTTGGGGCTCAGTTAATAGGACTCACACCTTGAAGTCTGAGAGTTCAAGTCCCATACCAGACATGTACTCTAGACTGACTTCTCTCAGGGATAATGCTACCTCAGGCCCTGACTGCCCTCATATTTAGGATCCCAGGGTCTATAGTGGACACCAAACAGATAATTTTTATTTTTATTAATTCACGGGATGACAGCATCACTGGCTAGCATCACAGCATTTATTGTCCATCCCTAATTGCGCAGAGGACAGTTAACAGTCAACCACGTTGCTGTGGGTCTGGAGTCACATGTAGGCCAGACCAGGTAAGGACGGCTGTTTCCTTCCCTAAAGGACATTAGTGAACCAGATGGGGTTTTTCCCAATGATCAACAGTGGAATTGTGGTCATCATTAATTCCAGAATTTTTATTATTGAATTGGGCCAATCTGCCATGGTGGGATTCGACCCGAATCCCCAGAACATTAGCTCAGTCTCTGGATCAACAGTCCAGTGATAATGCCACTAGGCCATCACCTCCTCTTTCTCTCCTGATCAACTTTGAAGACTTCAACCAACAACATTTAAAGAAGAGATTATCGGGCTGATCGTCGATTGCCCTCTATGGGAGCTCTGTGCAAAATGGCTGCCACTTTTCCTACATTACAATTCAGAAATTATCTCAATGCGCTTTGGAGACATCTTGTGTCTATAAAATGTGCTACAAAAATACAAATCTTTACTTTTGACAACAAAACAGTGAAACAAAATATTGCTCAATCGCTTGGAATTAACATGGCCAAGCTGAGAGAAAATAAAGCAGCATGAGAAATGTGAACAATGATTCACTTAACACTGACCTAAAAGAACTGTAAAAGTGATGTTTGTTTAAATAAAATTTAATTAATATGAGCAGTTCAGTTCGCCTGTCCAGGTGAATATTGTTGACAACTGGGCCTGTGTATCTTTTGGAAACCGATTGAGCAGTATTAATGCTTATTTTATGTGCCGAGAGACTAAGTTGCTGTTCACACACAGGCATTAGAAGAGTCAACAGCTTTACTACTGTACCTGTATGTTGGGGTTCTGTCCATTGATATCCACTTTGGACAGATCAGGGAAGTTCTCCAGATCTAAGAGGAATGTCCTGGGTCCATCTCTCTGGAAGGGTGCATGTTCCTCCTCCTGTTGAGTCCGGAGCTTTGGAAATGTTTTCTGTTCCGTCTGGTAATGAGAAGCGTCAGCCTTCCCCTCGTACACTCTCACTGAATCAGCAGTCCGAGCTGCACTAGTGGACGAGGACTTTCCCACGTTAACACTATTCTGCAAATTGAATAAAATGAGGGCAAAATATATCAAATATTGGTTCTGAAGTACAAAAACGGAGCATTCCTGAGAGAAGAAACGTTTTGTCAACATTTTTCATCATGTATGGATCAGGATGATTCACAAGAATACCAATTTAAAGGGGAACAACAATTTTTCACTGTATGAACAGAGCATGCTGTTTGCTTGGCAAGTGACTCTTGATTGGTGCAGACAAAAATAAAAGTCGCTGGAAAAGCTCAGCAGGTCTGGCAGCATCTGTGGACAGAAACCAGAGTTAACGTTTTGGGTCGAGCTCAGTGCAGACTTGAAGGCACATATAATAGCACAGACAGTCAGAACACAGCACCTGTTTCAACTTAACAAAACAGACGATAACCATTTCCTTGTTCATTCCTCAGGTCAATGCCTTGACTAGTCAGAATCAACCTGTTTGGTTTAGATTTAAATAAAAGTTTGGCATTTAACCCGTCTATTATCATCGAACTGGTGCATTCTCCCAAGCAACACCCCCATCAATCTGCATCCTCTGCTCATACAATATAAATGAATCTTATTCTCCTTTGCAACAATATTCTTGCAAATTGCCCTGATGAACGCAACATGAAACGTTTGATCAAAATGGGTCTACTTTTCAGCAATTTATATTGGTAAAACACATTCAGAAATTCATGTCAGCAAAAAGCCGTCTAAACTATTTTGCCATTATTTCCTAGAATGTGTAAAGAATTCACTGTCAGACAGGAGGGTGAATACAGTTTCAATAATAGCCTTCAAAAGTGAATTGGATAAATTATTGGAGGAGAATTAAATTGCAGATAAAGAGCAGAGGAGTGGGATTGATCAACAAAAGAGCAAAGCTGATGGGCTGAATGGCCTCTTCTGTGCTGTACACTGTTTCAGGATTCCCTTCACGAGATAATGTTGAGAAATTAAGCCAGGTTTTGTTTTTCTCTTTGCTGCTAAGCATATGATATTCCAATCTCAGTTTAATGAGCAGAACCATTGGGATTTGGTGTGGCATGATCTACATGGGACAAACATAAATTGGTAAAAGATTACATGAAGTATTTAATGAATAAATAGCTGCCTGCAAGTTACAGGTTCAATCAGAAAGCATCTGCTAAAATGGGTTCTGAAAATCAGCAGAAAGACATGATCCAATTACTGCCTTCAATTCACTGCCAGAGATTAGTTATTCCTTATGATGTATAAGGCTGGGTTATTTTTTATAATGAAAGTACTTTATTTCTGGAAAAAAAACTTTACTTGGCACCAAACACTGAATGAACACAACAACTGTCAAACAAACAGCTGCTGATTAGTAGCTAATGTGGATAATAATGGCATATGGACTGGAAGAACAAACATGATAGATTCCTATATAGTGTTGCACGGATTAGGTATCAACAGTTAAATTATCCCATTATATTATTATCTTAAATGTCACAGTAAACAAAGTGGTATCTTTTAGACAAAAGAATTAACCTCGAGCATAACACATCATATTGTAATGAACAATCGTTGGGAAGTGCAAACCTTGGGTATTACTGAAAAATGACACAGTTTCTTAGAATCTTTCATCCTGTACTCAAAAAGGCATCATTAGATGTGATTTCACAAATTACCTGACAAACGAACAGCACTCCAAATGCTTTTAATTTCAAATAAAACTGTTGGAATGTAACCTGGTGTCATGTGACTTCTGACCATGTCCACCGCAGTCCAACACCGGCATCTCCGCATCACTGCACAATTGGACAGCATTTGCTAAACAACCCAAAGTCTGTGAAGAATTATACTGACAATCAATCTAAGATTTGTGTGTGTGTGTGCGTGTGTGTGTGTGTGTGTGTGTGTGCGTGTGTGCATGTGCGCGCGTATGTGTGTGTGCATGTGTGAGAGTGTGTGCATGTGTATGTGCACGTGAGTGTGCATGTGCATGTGTGCACGCGCGCGCATGTGAGTGAGCGTGTGCGTGTGTGAGCGTGTGTGTATGTGAGCGTGTGAGCGTGCGTGTGAGCGTGTGTGTGTGTGTGTGTGTGTGTGTGAGTGTGAGCGTGTGTGTGTGTGTGTGAGCGTGTGAGCGTGTGTGTGTGTGTGTGTGTGAGCATGTGTGTGTGTGAGCGTGTGAGCGTGTGAGCGTGTGTGAGCGTGTGTGTGTGTGTGTGTGTGTGTGTGTGTGTGTGTGTGTTTGAGAGAGAATGTGTGAGCGTGTGCGTGTTGGAAGCTCCATATATTAATACACAGGGCCTTTCTCTTTGCAGACAGAAAGAACACGCACACGTCCTGTCCCCATTTTAACTGAACAAAACAGGCAACAGTCAATCTCTGCTTCATTCTTCAAGACAATGCCTAGTCTGTTCAGAGGCAATCAGCCTAGTCTAAATTTAAACAAAGTTTGGCAGTCAACAGTCAATCATCATCTAACTGGTTGAGTCACTGCCATGGCAAACACACCAATCAGAGTTCATTTGTTAACTGGAGGTAGTAGGAACTGCAGATGCTGGAGAATCTGAGATAACAAGGTGTAGAGCTGGATGAACACAGCAGGCCAAGCAGCTAGACCCGAAACGTCAGCCTTCCTGCTCCTCTGAAGATACTTGGCCTGCAGTGTTCATCCAGCTCTACACCTTGTAATCTCATTTGTTAACCAATCAGCATTGCCTTTTCATACAGTATGAAGTCTTGCTCCCCCTTCCTTTGGTATTCTGATTACTACTCTCAATATAGTACATACTAGTCCTGGTCAAAGGATGCACTAAACTGCAATGTTCAAAGTCTGACAGAGATATGACATATCAGAGGCATTGATGCTTTAGATAAAAAGATAGTGAGGGAGAACAAAGAACATAGAACAGTACAGCACAGGAGCAGGCCCTTCAGCCCACATTGTTGTGCTGAACATGAGCCAAATTAAACTAGTCCCTTCTGTCTCCCCTTGGACCGTATCCCTCCATTCCTTGCATATTCATCTGCTTATCTCAAAGCCTCTTAAACGCCCCAATCTTATCTGCCTCCATCATCACCCCTAGCAGTGCATTCCAAACTCCTACCACCCTCTGTGTAAAAAACTTGCCCCTCACATCTCCTTTGAACATTCCTCCCCCACCTCTAATGCATGACCCCTAGTATTAGACATTTTAACTCTGGGAAAAAGATTCTGACTGTCAACCCCATCTGTGCATTTCATAATTTTATAGATTTCTATCAAGTCTCCCCTCAGCCTCCGCCACTCCAGAGAAAACAACCTGAGTTTTTCTAGTCTCTCCTTATAGCTCATTCCCTCTAATCCAGGCAGCATCCTGGTAAACCTCTTCTGCACCCTCTCCAAAGCCTCCACATCCTTGCTGTAATGTGGCGACCAGAATTGAATGCAAAATCTAAGTGTGGCCTAACCAAAGTTTTATGAAACTGCAACATCACTTCCTGACTCTTGTACTCAAATCCCTGACCAATAAAGGCAAGCATGCCATATGCCTTCTATACCACCTTATCTATTTTTGTGGTCACTTTTAGGAAGAACTACCCCTCTAGTAACTACAGGACTAAAACTAAAGGAATGACCTTGCTATACCTAAAACTATAATGAATATACAACCACAGCTCGCATTTGTATTGCATCTATTGTGTAATATAATGTCCCAAGGGCCTTCACCGGGGTGCTCTCAAACAAAGCGACATACTGGGCTACACTAGCTGGTACTCAAATAGGTCACTAAAAGCTTTGCCAAAGAGATAGGTTTGAAGGAGCAACTTAAAAGGAGGAGAGAGATACAGAGAGTTCGGGAGCTTAAAGCCCTTCAAACAGCTGGAAGGACAAGCACCATTGGTGGAATGATTTAAATTGGAGATGTGTAAGAAACTGGAATGGGAGGAGGCCAGAGATTTCAGATAGCTGGTTTATGGTTACACCCCATTAACATCCAAAATCCACATATCATCACATCCTGCCAGTTATCCATTGGGTTAGAATTACTCCATATGGATACGGACTCTATTTTGTGTAAACCATGCACCAGTCTAGTGACTGCATGGCAGATTATTATTTGACTATGAAACACGTCATCCAATCCGAACCTTCCTCACATGACATCGGAAACCTGCCCGATGTCCAGAGAAGAGAAGGGAAGTGTCCATCCCATATGCCATCTTGCCTTGCAACAGAGTATGGAGTCTAATGTCTGTCTCTTGCAACTGAAAACAGCTGACCCAGCACAGGGTCTGCACCACACCAACAACCAGCTGATATGACCATGAGACACATAAGTAGGCCATTCAGCCCATCCATCATTAGATGAGATCTTGGCTGATCTGATATTCCTCAATGTCACTTTCCTGCCTCATCCCCGGAACTTGCACATAAGCGTCATGGGCACAGTTCAGTTCCTTGTTAATGGGTTAAATGGGTCTCTGGAGATAGACCAGACATTAACTCACAGACAGACCTGTAAAGTGAGGCCTTCTGATTGGCCCTGCAGCTACTCAAACCTGATAAAAATCAAATGTTGCTTGATGCTACAGCCTGCAGCTGGCAATTACCCTGGCATGTCACTGAATAATAAAACTGGCATGAAATCGTTGTTTTTACACTCTGCGTTCTATAGCAATGGGGCCAAGCTTGCTAAAAAAAACGGGATTGAAGCTTACACAAAACCTGCATTCCAAAGGTTAATTGCTAAAAGAGCAGGAGAAGTAAGAGTCATGATTAAACGTTACTTTGGCAATCATGGAATTGAACTAAAAATTGTTCTGCATTTTATCAGATTTGTCCCAAACTTTTTAACACTCTGAAATGTGTCCCTCTGGGATGTTATATCTTTCTGTGTTCCTAAACATCATTTTGAATTTCTAAGAACATGGTCAGTGGTTCAAGTTTTTGTTATTGTTCTGTGTGTCCAGGGGTTTGTAGTGTAGATTACAATCTCATCAGTGTCTCTAACCAGATCAGCAACTGACCATCAATCAGCAACTTTGTGCAGTGCACCCTCTTAAAC